GTGCTGTCTGGGAGCAATAACATGTCACCCATGACTCTAGCTTGAGGCATAGTTTCAAAAATCCACTGTGGATTAGGGTCTGTTATTTTGATCCGAGCACATGTGTTTAGAGCTTCCACAAAAGTACCCTTATTTGCCTGGACAAATGACCCTTTTGGAGCTCCACCGCAGACCAAAACTTCAGCCTCAACAGATGGAGCCATCAAGTTCTTCAATGGGAGCAATACGGCTGAACCCGTGCTGGGTTACGACCTCGGGTCGCCTCCGGGTATTTGCGGGTAGGTTTTAACGACGACGTTCTTCACGTAATCCAACAAAATAGCTCGATTGTTAGCGAAAATAAATAAGTTGCCATCAGGGTTGAGAAAAACAAAAGGGTATAGATTGTTTTCTTGGCCGGGGTCATTGGTCTGCGAAAGGAACGGCAAGCTGTAGACATTGCTTGTAGACTCGGTCTTCGGATAAAATTCATACTTGAATTGCCCCCGGCCGCCGATGATAACTCGCGTCCATCGGGTAGAACATGATTGGTGGCGTACCAACGGCGAACGGCCAAGCCATCCACAACCTCCGTCCAATCACAACCCGTGCAGGGTTGGAAAACTCTAACGCGGCGTTCTCCACTATTGAAGCCACCGGTTTGGATTAAGTTGCCGTTGGGGGCCATGGAGCCGGAGGAGCACCAGACGTCGGATAGGACCGTGAGGGGGCGGAAGGCTTTGGTCTCTGGACGACGAACTCGGCAGAGTGGGCAGTGCAGTCGTTATTGACGCAATTACCGTTGGGCAAGGACAAGTTGGATGTGCCGAAGTCTGTGCGGTCGAACAGGACAATGCGGTCATTTTTTAAGAGCTGCATGTGCATGGTGGAAACGCCAATGGTTGCCAACACTTGCCAATTGCCACCGGCAGCGTGGGCCCTCCGAGAGAACCCAAGAAATATTATTAACAACAGAAATGAAAGAATGAGACTGGTAATTGGCTTCATTCTTTCTTTCTTTTCTTGGTTTTTGCTTACTTAAATTGTGCTTTAGCTGTGATTTATGAGCTATAGCTTTGTGGTTCTGTCTGTCTCAAGTCTCGACCTGGCCCTCCTTAAATACTAGGGTTTTCGAGTTACCCAGTCCTAATTAATTAACTAAAAAGCAATGCTAGGAAGACTAAATTTTGTAAACTAAGAGCTTGTTTGGATGTGCTTTTAAAATGACTGAAAACTCTTTTGATGAAAATGTTTTTAGAACTAATCTTTGGTAAAAATGCAAGTAAATTCTGGAAAAACGCTTAAAGTGTCACTAGAAGAAGCACATAATTGGTGTTTCTTGCAGCAAGCACTTTAAGTGCTTTTGGAATCCAAAAACATTTTCTCTAAAAGAGCTTTCATTTATTTTAAAAGAACATCCAAACGAGAAATGATATGAGAGTTGATGATTGGATTATTACTTAAACGTTGATAAACGTGCTCATTTCCTATCGGTGACACATCATTTAGTCTATAAATTTAGTCTCTCTAACATTACTCTTAACTAAATGAATATAGCCTGGAACTAACTAATAAGTAAGGGGGTGCTCCTCTAATCAACAAGTATATGTCATTAATTAGCACTATATTGAGTTATATTCTTCTCGACGTGGATAAGTAAGATGTCTTAAACTCGGTATATATCTGGTACAATATTTTATTCATGAGTAAGTTAAGATGATGTAAATTCTACTATCTTGATAATAACTAGTTTGATGCTAAATTATAGCTTTGCCCGTTAGTTGTTAATATTACAGTATCCTCTTAAGTCCCTTGACATTTGGTCTATATTAATTGTAAAATCTTCAAGGTTCCAATTCCTCTATGGTTGTTAACAGGACATGATTGACATCTTACATTCCATTAATATAACGCCCTGTTATCGTCAAACCTAGCTCCCTAACCATGGAACACTGAGGGTTTTTCCTAGATGTTTCAGTGTAATTAGGTATTGTACCATATATTATAAGTTGCAATTTGGTTTCTCAAATTATCAATCCGGGATTCTCAACAATATGGCATGAATTATTCCTCCCCATATGATGACGTGACTTGAATTAGACAAATTGAAAGTAGATTATGAGGGTACTACTTGTTAATATCACAACCGTTAGTTTGTTCAATAAGTATGAATAAACTGAAGCTAGGCCCCTGTTTGTTGCCCGACTAGTGCTTAACGTCTTTTACAACCTTATTCGCAACAAGTGAAGTCATGATCTTTTAATTCTATATTTGTTATTAAGTGAGATATTCCTTAGTATACTTGGACAATTTTGTAAACGGTTGATGGGGCTCATTCAGAATGTCTTTGATACGGTTGGTTTAGACAGATACATCCTTCAACTAAATTTATAATGCATTTCTGATCTTGTTCTTGTAATGATTGATAAATTGATCGGCTCAAATTGTCGGGCCGTGGAAAATAGAAAATATAGCACGTCTTGCTATTCTACAATATACACCATGCGAATTGGTATATGTATTTTATATGTATTGTTGAGATGCGATATTCCTTAATTAATTCTATATATTTTTTATATTTTGGTCGAAGAATATTATTAGTGAAAGTTTCCTCACACACACACACACACACACACATATATATATATATATATATTTATACTCGTTCTTTTGGTCAACTTTGTTTATTTTATTGTTTGCCATCATATTTTCTTGTTTGTGTTTGTAGTATTCGAAAGGACTCAAATTTTATTTACGATGGTGCATACGAAAGAGCTAAAATCGCTCATGATGATGATACTTACGGTTGACAAAAAAATACCTTTAAAATGCTAATAAATCGTAAAAACTAACTTTAACGTATTTTCTAGTAATTTTTTTTAAGACGCTCATGAATGTAAGTGCTAAATTAATTTATATGTAAACAATTTGAAATGAGTTCAAATCTTTTGCATCGGTTTTGTGTGTAGCTTCTTTGTAGCTTCTATAATTGATTGACACGTGTTAAGTTTATGACACTAGAGTTGATGGAGTATTAAGTTTATGAACACGTGGCGATCAATAACAGAAACTAGGTCACACACAAAATGAGTACATAAAAGATTTGAACTTGTCTGAAATGAGCCCTAACTTATAACTAATTAAGGTGTACGTCAACCACTTTAGACTGCGGATTATCCATACAAATTAAATTAAGCTCTTAATCCATGAATCTGCAAAAAGAATGTTTAGCAGCCATGCGTGCTGCTTGCAAACCACCAAACTCTGCGAGTCAAATCTTTCATATATTCATGAACCTATAGTAATTAAGCATCATAGGCCATAACCACCCTTGCATTTTGCTTTACCAGCAGGAGACAAAACCAAACCATTGCTGTTGGAGGGACCAAAAATATAATTCAATTAGAAATATTTTTCTGGTGAGAGATAAGAGGACCTGAAAAAAACCCTAAAACGTACAATTGCAACTTATATATTTTTGGGGAAACTTGATATAAGTCCAATTTTTTGAGCCAATAGTAGGAATAGTCCAGTTTATTAAAATAAGTCCAATTTGTTATATTTAATTATTTAATTATCAATAGTTATCTGTTCAATGATAAGATTTATTATAAAAATCAAATTTCTTCTCAATTATCTCTTTGCTTATTTCTTTTTATTTATCTTTTTGTTATTTCTCGTTCTTCCTCCTACTTTAAACCCCATTTATAGATTTTATTTTTAATTTTTATAATCGTATATCACAGGTTAATTATATTTATCTACCTATATGACAGATTCTTTTTTTATAATCAACCTGTCACAGATTAATGTGTCTTACTTGTAGGTATGTTATGTTTCTTCTACCCTTTAATTAGGTTTCATATCTCACGTATAGGTATATTATACACATTCATATATTTGTTACTTGAGTTAGGGTAGAATGTTTTGCAGATAAATTTATTTTAGTATATTAGTTTTTTTGTTATAAGATATTAAATATATTCTTTTGGAGTTGGAAAATGCATAATATTAGAAGATTTTAATTGATTTTTAATATTTTTAGAAAATATAAAATGAGAATAAAAGAAATAAAAACATATAATTAGATAACTGGACTCACTCCTAAAAACACTCTACGTTTTTGGAACTGGATCTAAAAGCCCCTATATTTTTCAACATTGCAGGCTAACCATGACCATAGACATCCAATCTTCTCACAGCTCAGCTTCAGCATTTTCACAAGTGTGTGTGTGTGTGTGTGTGTGTGTGTTATACTATACATATTGTTTAAAATTTTAAAATAATTTTTCATGATTATAAAAATAAAAGTCAACATTAATTCTTAATGTTTAGTTTTCCTCTCTTGTTTGGTTCCACTTTGCTTTCGCTTTGAAGATTGGTGCTTAATTAAGAAGAGGGATTAGAAGATTTTTGGAATTAATTAGTAGAACCATATATAGTTAGGAAGGTCGGCACCTGCTGGCTGCTGCTTCGAAAATGACGACGCGTTCATATGAAATTCTGAGAGTGGCTGTTTCTAAAGGAGGAAGATTTTTTTTTTTTTTTTTGAACAAACGATATTATCTACATTAAGGAAGAAGGAATATGGTTAGCTTCACAATGGACTAGCAATAACTATGGTTCAAATTCGCCTTTGGCGGAAATCGAACCTAAGACCTCTCACTTATAAGCGAAGAGAAATATCAATAGCTCGTAATACTAAGTAGCAGCTGGAATGTGACATTTTAACAATGAAGCCGGTTTTAAATTTCCGGGTGCCTTGTGGACGGAGGACTCGCTCGTTGGGGACCTCAAACCACAAGGTTCCTGCACTCGAAAAAAAGGACACCACACGGTTCGGATTTCACGAGCTCATCCCGCCGGCAGAAAAAATGTAAAAATGGAAACGGAAATCTTTCAGTATAAACAAATTGTACTACGAGAGCAGCCACCTAAAGTGATAAAGACGTCCAAAATTTCTCCTCAGATAACAGCAGGGGCGTAACCAGTAACATTTGTTCGAAGACAACCACCAAATATACGAGGCACTGACCAAAATTCGACAGTACAAGTTAATTTTATTAGAGCATCTCGGATGTCATGCTAATTCCGTCTGTTTTTCAACTAGTGTGCTTACATGGTGCGCCAATACTCTTATTTTTTTTAGTAGAAACATTATTTACACTCAGCACAAAGAGGGGAATTTGAACTCGGGACCATAGGACAATATAGACCGCATCGTTTTAAGTCTGAGGAGGATAGAGTTCCCATAGTGCCACCGTTGTATCTTCTGATGCACATGCCATTAGCTTACAATCAGCGGAATAAGAAACGGCATTACACTGCAATAATACGCAAATACGTATAATCAGGCCCTCGGTAGTGAGTATAGCATCAACGCAAGAAAGAGTTGTTGTTTGAAAATAGGATCATACCGTTGCATGGTGATACTTCAATATCGCCAAAGCATTTCCTTTACGATAGTTATACACCCTCGCTCTGCCATCAAGAGTGAAACCGAAAAAGGGCAAAACGACATAAGAATGCAGATCGGCGATGAATGAATTACAAGATACACTTCAAATCTCAAAATGAAAGTTATGTTCCAAACCTGTGGTCCCAGCCAGCTGTTGCAAAAATTTTACCGTCAGGTCGAATGGAAGTGCTTGAAATTCCAGGTCGTTCCAAAACAATTTCTTTCTTGATCATGCACGTACCCTAGGTTGGACAGCACAACATTACGGCAAAAGAGATATAAAATATCACTTAAATTTCGCTTAGAGTAGTACTACAAACTTTCAAACATGACTATTACCATTGAAGGATCCAAACTATACAGCACAACTTTCTCATCAGCGGCTCCTGAGATACCACCATTGCATGACCCATCAACGCATAGACTTAGAACTGCAGATAAGGTACATGAACAATGTGGTTTATTTCAAAAGGAAAAATGAGAACGGGTAATAAAAACGCACGGGGGTTCTTTGGATTCTAGGTCTCTCACCTGGCTCTGAATGAAACTTGACAGTGGTAATTGGAACCCCCGGATTTCTAATATCCCACCAAAGCATGGAACCATCCTCATAACTGTACAATGTAGAACAAAGAAACAAAATCAGAATAGACATATCAAAATGACGAAAATAACAAATTTTGAACTCACGTTTCAATTCCAGAAACCAAATGCAGAATAATCCTTCTTCGGTGATTATAACATGTATGAAAATGGGTGCATGCTCACACTGTATAAACAAATTTTAAGATCTGTTATACACACATCTTGATCCAGCATCCCCGAAGTTAGAAAGGGTAGGATAACTCATGTATGACACATACATCTCATTCTCACATTGCGTGTCAACAACTCACAAACCAGGTTATCAAATTCTTCTGACCCCAAAATATTTGCGCAATTCAGTGAATGCACCACATACATCCTGAAGAGATCTAAGATTGCTACAGACAACTAGTCAAGGAACTCATGACATATGACTTCTGAACAACCTTTCCTAAGAACATTGGTTTGAAAGAAAATGATGAAAAACAAATTTGAGCAGTTTTTTGACAGAGTCTGACAACAGACAAACAGAACAAACAAAAGAGATTCTACTACGAGTAGCTGAAGATTAAGAAGCCAAACATCATTAAAACCGCATAGTCGCAGACACAAACGGATGATCTACATTTTCATCAAAATTTTAATCAGGTACTCAGTTTCATAAAACATAGATAATGAGAAGTGAAAAAGAATATACCCAACCAAGACATTTAGGAATCCCTGTGATTCAGATGGTGAGAATGCTTGAATTGCCATGCACATTCCTGGCAAGAATTAATGCCATTTGACTAAACTAGATGAAAACAATAAGAAAGTATGGACAGTAAAGTGATGGCCCAAAAACGTCAGCTATAAACTGAAACACAATCAAATCCATAAATTAGTAAGCCAAAGGTTGAATGAATTAGAAAGGGACCGCTCTCCTTGGAAGAAATACCCGAGGAGCCACCAGAGCAGCTTTGAGGCAACCGTGCAAACCTTTCTGCAGTATTAAGATCCCAAATCTCAACCTTTGCAAACCAACCACATGAGGGTAATGAGTAATTGAGACTCCAAAAATGAACATCAAACTAGACATAATCAAGGTTAGATACAGACCTCAGAAGTCTGCTCCCCTGCTACAGCGACATATTTCGATCCTTCATCTTGAGTATTTTCTGTTTTCAAAAACTGTCTATCAGCATTCTTGTTTCTGAACTTTCACAGAGCAATAAAGAGCAAAACAAATTTCAAATACAGAAGAGACCAGTATTCAAAATCCAATTAATAGATAAATCTAAAGTCTAAGCCTTCATCTCCTAAGAGAAAGTAGCTAAAGTGCAGAGACAATATTCCTGACCAGAATACAGTTCCAAATTTCAACAAACCTTCAAAGGCGCTGGGCTGTTCAGACAGATCCTCTTCACCATTGTCTCTACTGTCGTCCAAAGTATCTTCATCGGTAGTCCCCTTCACCCCTCTCTCCTCTCCATCACGAAACCTAACCCTGTCCATCCGTGTAGAACAAGATTGAGGCCTCTCCATCACGAAACCTAACCCTCTCAACCAAATGCGAGAACACGAAGTGGAATGCAGAAACATTAATCCGTATGAACATTCTTCTCGATACTTGACTTACTAAGCACGAGAGCGCCAATGACAATGAGCAGGGCACCTGCAAACCACTGTCAACAAGCCTTTCCATCAGATATGCAAAAGAGATATGTCAAGCAAGGTTAAAGCCACATTTTCTCAATGTTCTAAGGTTAAAGCCACATTTTCTCAATGTTCTTACTATGAACAATTATATGCAGGTGTAAAAACAACAATTATATGCAGGCGTAAAAACAATGTACAAGCAGCAGCAATTCTACGGCCTCTCCCAACAGAGAAACGAAATAATTGGTGAAGAAACTCCGTCGTCTATCACCATTCTGTGATTTTACCAGATAAGGAACACTAGCAGCCATATAACCCATGGTTCATTCAAATGTTTTATGTGAAAAGAACCAGTTGTTTTCGATTTCTTCGTTGACTGAAATAAATTTCAGAATCATTTGATCAATGACAACAGAGTTAAAGGCCTACTAGTGAAGGCCAAACATTTCCCACCACTTTCATGGCCTAAACACATACTACTAGGTGGCTTGTTTACTTACATGGCATGAGTACTGGAGTTATTCTGATTCGTCCCCACGTCAAGTAAAACATGGGTATTAGAATTATTCAAATTACCGACTTCCTTTTTATTTACTAACATGTGAAATATAAGAAAATTGTGAGAGTCCATAATCTAATACTTAAAAATTATGAATCATATGAAATACGACATGACTAATAGATCTCGTACTCATTCCTTCTTTCCCTTTCATGATCAACGACTTCCCCTTTCAAGTAAGTAAACATGTCGCATACGACATCAGTGTCATCCATTCATTTCTTTTTCTTTTTTTTTTTCATTTGCTCCACACGTTAATAATTTTGAGCATTTTAGTCACGAAAACAAAGGGCGAGTCTTAACGCAATGGAAAGGTTGCTTCTTTGTGACTGAAATGTCACAGATTCGAGTCATGGAAACAGCCTATTTGCAAATAAGGTTAAGGTTGCGTAAATGACTAAAACTTCATTAAAATTAACACAAAACGGAACAAAAACAATGAATTTACCTTCTCAGATAAGGGTTCTTGAAACAAAAAGTATCCAGCCAGACCAGAAGTAAGGAAGTTGGTAGCAAAGTTCGTCGCTGTAGCTTGCAGAGATGACAGATTTTTTAAGCTTTGCACAAAGCACCCCCACATCGTCACGTTGAATAATACCACGAAACAGTACTTTACAATCTGTGAAAATCCCCAAAAATTAATCACCTGAATTACTACATCAAGAGATTCTAGGGTTTTTGAGATGTAAATCGAACGTCTTAAATTCGTGAAATTGAATATCGGAAGGGCACCTGATTAGTGATGAGCTTCGCCGAAACGGCGGCGGAAGCGGCGCAGAGCCCGGCTGAGACTGCCCACGCGTAGCCCTTTTTGCTAGCCTCCATCGAACCACCAAAGCTTCCAATTTTTCTCAAAGGAAGAAGTAAACTGGGTCGAGATGATTTGAGTATGTACTTGAAACGATGTCGTTTTGCCTTCTAGTTATACCACTCGGCCGAGTTTTTCCTAGTCACGACTCGTTCACAAATACAAAGAATATGGTTGTATACAATTAGTATTATGAAATTAGGAGCTCGATCGGAAGTGTATTTCAAATAAATAAAAGCACTTTTAAATAAAATATTTATGAATTTTAATGCACCTTAAATATTATTGTGGTGTCATTAAGAATAGCACGTTGCGCGTGCAAATTATTTTTTGACAAAATAGCATGCAAATTGGTGTTTCACTAGGCCTTTGTAGGCTAGAGGTCATTTAGAAGTCATATTGCAGGCATGTTGACAGATGTCAACAGTTTTCAAACGAGTATGTCGACTGATGTCAATACTTAATAGGTTTTGAGTAAGCATGCTAACATATGCTAACATACGTCGAGTGAGCCTATCAAAAGAACCCATAGCAATGCATACAAAGATATGGGCCAGCAGCTATCCTTATCAATGCCCACAAAGGCAACTCTGAGCAATTATAGAGTAACTTTTAAAGGGATTTTAGATTTTCAAATGGCAACACCCGACCCTTCCGCAAGGAATTCTGAGCGGAATGAGCTGACCTACCTTGTTTCAAAATGGATTTGCCCCCGAGTGCAAACCAAAATATGCCTCAGTATTCTTTTTTGTATTGGCAAACTAGAAAAAAATTGAGTAAAGTTGGAGTTCTTCCGACATTTAACGGAGGGGTTCCACCAAGCACCAACCCCATTGATCAGTGATAGTAACTACTGGAGACACTGAGCTATATAATTGCTGTTCTGCACGGGTTTTAAAACAAGGGCTCTGCGAAAAGCTGCAGGCCCGTATATATAGAATTGTAAGGATTCTGAAGAGCTACAAGCCCACAGTTAGTGCATTGGTCCCACTCAAGCCACGAACAAGGGTAGCCACGCATTGATAGAAGAAAGATTCTCCCATGCAACCGACATTTAATTTTACCGGTATCATTGTACTCAATTAAAAAAAAAAAGGCATCTTTATTAAAAAAAAACTCGTCACGTGTTCAAAAGATGCACTAATCGTTCAAAATTAACAATCATCATTTTCTACTCGGCTGCACCATTTTCTACTTACCAATCTGTCCACATATAGTGTATCATTCCATTGACGATGGTCATTGATATCAGTCGGATATGATAAATTGTTAAAAACTTTTACTAAAGAGGGAGACAAGATTTGAAACTATTAAAATAATTTAGAAGAATGCAGTTTCGAACTCGGAACGCATGAGCATAAATCACACCATATCCACTTGTGTGCAAAACTTGCAAAATAAAGTCTTTGCAAGTACATAAAAAAGCACTGGCGCGAAAAAAAGTTCGATGGAAATTAATACAACTTTATTCAGTAGATTAATTACAACTTGTAATCTTTGGTAAGAAAAATCAAATACAAATTGGAAATTGCTACATGGTCCTAATTCTTTAAAATGACACACAGAATCAATCAAACTGTTTGCTTTTGTAGTTTGATCTCTATTGATGAACATTTTTATTTTTTCAACTCACAATTAATCTTTTTTTTTCTTCAAAGAAAATAAAAAGGAAGAAGAAACATAGTATACAAATTTAAATACCCTTATTTTGTCACAGAATTTGGACCCAGATGGCAGCACTTGGAATTTTTTGATGAACCACATACAGAAGATAATATCCTGAAGGTGCAAGATTACCGGAAGCCGGCGTAGTTACTTGAACTTGGTAGGCCGTTGTTCCTACCTTTTTAACGTTCTCCGCCTCAAGAACTAGCAGCCTCTGATTCATTGAGAACGAATGTGTATTAAATGAGGGCGCCACCATCGACACCGACACTGATTTTGTTGCTAGGTTTCCCTTCACCAAAAACTGAATGGATAGTTTCTTTCCGTAGTTGATCTTAGCTTGTGATATGGGCGCAACGATTTGCGGACGCAAGTTATTGTATTTAGCGTCCAAATAATCAGGACTAAATGCCTCTAGTCGCAATTCAGTTGGGAAAAGCACGTTGGTGAACTCGTATTTTTCATGAGGGTTACTACCTCCAACTAGTACCCTACCATCGCGTAACAATATCGCGGTGGAATGGTACATCCGCGGTATGGTGGTAGGGTTTTGTTGTTCAAACCGTGATCCAATTGCGTTGTCAGGTCGGTACACAACCGGGTTGAGAACCGGATTGCGCCCTATTTCATAACCTGCAGTTCCTGATGATGCACCGTTGATGAGTAGAACAGTGCCATCTGGAAGCAATAACATGTCACCCATGACTCTAGCTTGAGGCATAGTCTCCATAACCCACTGGGGTTTCGGGTTGTTTATGTTGATCCGAGCGCATGTGTTTAGAGCTTCCACAAAAGTACCCTGATTTGCCTTGACAAAAGACCCCTTTGGAGCTCCGCCGCAAACCAAAACCTCAGCCTCAACAGACGGAGCCGCCAAATTTTTTAACGGCAGCAACACGGCTGAACCCGTGCTAGGGTAACACCTTGGGTCGCCGCCCGGTATTTGTGGATAGGTTTTGACGACATTGTTCTTTGCATAATCGAATAGAATAGCTCGATTATTCGCAAAGATAAATAAATTCCCATCCACGTTGAGGAAAACAAAAGGGTAAAGATTGTTTTCCTCGCCGGCGTCATCGGTCTGCACAAGGAAGGGCAAGCTGTAGACTTTGCTCGAAGACCCGGTCTTTGGATAAAACTCGTAGTTGAATTCCCGCCTACCGCCGATGATGATCTGCCGTCCGTTGGGCAAAATATGATCGGTAGCGTACCACCGGCGAGCGCCTAAGGCATTCTCAAACTCCTTCCAATCACAACCCGTGCAGGGCTCGAAAACCCTGACGTTGCGCTCTCCGTCGCCGTAACCCCCAGTTTGGATTAAGCGTCCATTGGGGGCTACAGCTCCGGAAGAGCACCAAACGTCGGTTAAAAGAGAGAGAGCGCGGACAGTGTTAGTTTTGACATCATACTCGGCGGAGTGGGCGGTGCAGTCGTTTCGAACGCATTCTCCGTTCGGTAAGGACAGGTTAGATTTGCCGAAATCTGTGCGGTCGAACATGACGACACGGTCGTTGCGCAGAAGCTGCATGTGCATGGCGGAAATGCCAACGCTTTGTTGCAAGAGCTGCCATTTGCCACCAGCGGCGTGGGTAAGAGAGAAATGAATTAACAAGAGGATTGATGAAAGAATGAGACTAATTGACTTCATTTTTTCTGCTTTTGAATCTCTTAATTTGTGCTTTGGTTTTGTGGGTCTGTCTCAACTCTCAACCTTCAGCTCTTTAAATACACGTACCATATGTATATTGTAAACGCGTGGGACCGACACCAGGTGCCCGGTAAGTGAAAGGGACTGTAACCGTTGAGTTGAAGAACAATTCAATCTAATTAATCTGAGTTTACACTGTAGGATCCTGGATAAGCATGCTAGAGTTTAGGTGTGTGCTTTGAATCCTTCTTTTTTTTTTCTTTTTTCTTTTTGTTACTGGTTTAGTCTTTCGTTGGTTGATGAATTTATTTCGTCTTTGTGTGTGCTTTAAATTCTTCTTCTTTTTTTTTTTTTTTCTTTCTTTTTGTTACTGGTTTAGTCTTCCGTTGGTCGATGAATTTATTTCGTCTTTTTATTATACATATGTTTGGTAAATGTGGAAATATTCATTTTTTAATGTATATTTTGGTTGTTGTAATATTATTTTTTAAGAGACACAATAATAAACTTATGATTACTTGTTTTTGGGACAAAAATCTAAATCTTAATTTACTCATGAAGAGTGAACACTATTTTTTTCAATTCTAATTTCAACCTTTTGAATTTTGAACTTTTCCGCTCGATGATGTCATTTTGGTTTGCATGAGAAATTTTTGTGTTGGAGAGTGATGGGTCATAGAGGGCGAACTTTGTCGCAACAAAAATATTGCTATTTTGTAACCCAAAGATCGTTGGTTCGAGTTGTGAAAACATTATTTTTACAAATGCAAGGATAAGGTTGTATACCACAGACGTTTCTCCATTCCTCTGATCCTTGCAAAGAGGAAAATTTTGTTTGCTTGGGATTGCCTTTTAGAGTGATGGATCGTATATTTGGTAGCCGGAATTAATTAATGAAAAAGAGCAAGATCTTCCGTCTGATTGAAGATTTAAGTTTTTGCTTGCAGAAGGTGAAATTCATTCTTATTAAATTCACATTGTTGCAAGAGCTATCTCATTGTTTAGCTAATTTGCAATATCTAAAGATAATTATGCAGTTTCAAGCGAGATTAAATCTGATAATATCATGCAGGATGTTCACCTCCAAGATTTAGTCTGTACTCCCTCTTAAAAGTCCAATGAAGTCAACGTTTCCTTTGAGCAAAAACACTCAAGCCTTATCCCATCAAACGAAGTCGGTTATATAAATTTTAAAACGGTACTCTGCTCAGTTTTGCACCAAATATATCGTTTCGTTAAAAAAAAAAAAAAATATTTCAGTTTGGGCAAGCTCCAAGCAATTTAAATTTCTACTGCAGAATACGTGCGGTGCAGAGTGAGAGTTAAATGATTGTTGCTTTTGTTGGGTTGTTCTTCCCAATTAAATCAATACCTGAACAATAATATTAAATTCTTGTCATGAAATTTGACCATCATTTGGGTGCGCCCACTTAATCATGCATGGTTCTAACACATAAAATATTTAATAAAAAAAATCTATTTAATAATTAATATTCCATTTCGTGGATATATTCATTGCAATTCTCTTAATTTTCTGGGATTTGGTCTCTCTGTTAAATGTAAATTCTTGCAACCTAATAATAATGTACAGGTTTTCCAATATATACGTGTGTGTGTATATATATATAGTCTTCCTTCCAGTAACTATATATATAACGCCCTAGTTTAGTCAAACCTCCATACAAAGACCTGAAACATCCAGAAGCTTGAATTCATACACGTGCAAAGAAAGAAGCCATACTCTAATATATTGTCTTTGAAGCACTTTTTTTTCTGAGCATTTCTATTT